CATCTGTGACAGATAACATATCTTCTCACTTCTAGGCTCAATGACCATCTGTGACAGATAACATATCTTCTCACTTCTAGGTTCAATGATCATCTGTGACAGATAACATAACTTCTCACTTCTAGGCTCAATGATCATCTGTGACAGATAACATAACTTCTCACTTCTAGGCTTAATGACCAGCTGTGACAGATAACATAACTTCTCACTTCTAGGCTCAAAGATCACCTGTCACAGATAACATATCTCCTCACTTCTAGGCTCAATGACCATCTGTGACAGATAAATGATCATCTGTGACGGATATCATATCTTCTCACTTATAGGCTCAATGATCATCTTTGACAGATAACATATCTGCTCACTTCTAGGCTCAAAGATCACCTGTCACAGATAACACATCTTCTCACTTCTAAGCTCAATGATCATCTGTGACAGATAACATATCTTCTCACTTCTAATCTCAATGATCATCTGTGATAACGTTAACAAATTGAAGGTTTGTGTGGAGGAACACCATGCACATTAAAACTATGTATAATGATATTTTTATCATCACTGGGTTTTCCATATATGCACATTAAAGCTTAAGATGGTGTTGTTATCCTCACAATATTTTGTTCATTCTCCTATTATGACGCATTATGCTCTCACATGGAACACCTTTATGTGGATACGTTCTCCGTTCAGGATGTCGGCTGGCATGAGCAGACATTATATTTTGAGAAAATATATTTCCAAACAGGAAAAAGCATTCTCAAGTTGTTCTTGAGTCATTCTCAACCTCTTTTTGAGTATTCTCATACTGACAACCCATGATAATGAATGGATCATGTTACCATTAGGTGATTACCAGATAATATAATATAATGTAGTATATAGATGATGAAGTAGAATTCCAAGAGTTTTGGAAGCAGGTCGCCCAGGTAACTCAACATGAAACAGCAGGGAATGGTTTTCGTTATGTCATTGAATGTTATTTAATTTCAGACCCCATAGTTCAGTCCAAAGAGAACACAGGCGACAATGTTTTACCTGTGCACATTTTACACCTTTGTGTGCATACGCTTCATTGGTCATTTGTCTGATGAAGGTGACAGTGTACATATCGTTCTAGTCGTCGAAACGTCACATAGAAAATTGTATGGGTTGTGTAAAAAGAACTTCTCATAACTGATACTTCCCAACCTGAAGAAAATGTTTAGAAATAGGTGACAATGTTATTCTTCGTGATCTTACCTAAGCCAGAAAGTTCAGAGGGCATGCCGCCTCCAGACCGACTCGATCCTGGTGTGGGGGGATTGTTCAGGTATTCATTAACTTTCTTACAATAGTCATCATCTTTGTCCGACTTGGGTTCCTATAACAAAAACATTTGGAAGAAATCTTTGATTTTTAAAGTGGTTTCTTCAATTCACATCTTAATTAAAATAATACATGATGGGAAATACCACTGTTTTGTCAAAATTCTGAATCAGTAGGGGTTTACATTTACTATAGCATCTATCTTTCTGACATCCCAGTGACAGCAGTATCCTCTGGATGACAAAAATATTGCTTAACCCCAAAGAATGTAGTTCTTGTAACTTCAGAAGACAATTGATTTGCTAATCCTGATTTTGAAAAATTCAAGAATTTGAGCTTTTGATGTCCCTTTCAATGAATATGGAATCGTTGTAACTTTGACATCAGGATCCATTTTCAATAGGACCGATTCCATTCATTCTGGATAAATTTATGGATGTAGTCACAAACTTTGAGGAACCTTACCTGCATCCAGAAGAAGAACTTTCGTGTGGAGGACTTGAACTTGAGGACATAGACACGCCCGGTTGTACACTGAGTCACATGTTTAAACTCAACATCATCTGGGAAGATGATCAGGTCCTATTAACAAAAACAGTTTGATTGTCGGGGATCAAAAACAAGAGACCCAATGGGCCTGCATCGCTCACCTGGTATTAATATCACACTTGTAATCTTAAAAGTGGACTAAAATACAGCTACAGGTAAAATATCTGTGTTAGATTCATAAAAACCTATTAAAAGATTTCAACATATTTGACCCCTGTGACCTTGAAAATGGGTGAAGGTCAACCATTTGAACAAACTTTTTAATACTTCATCCCTGCATGTAACCCGCCAAATATCATCATTCTGGACCTTTTTTTGTTATTAAGAAGAAATTGTTCAAAGGTTTTCAACATATTTGAACCCTGTGACCTTGAATTTAAGTCAAGGTCATTCATTTGAACAAACTTGGTAGCCCTTCATCCCAGCATGTAAATATCATCACCCTAGGCCTCATCGTTATTCAGAAGTAGTTGTTCAAAGGTTTTACACATATTTGACCCGTGACTTAGAATATAAGTCAAGGTCATTTATTTGAACAAACTTGGTAGCCCTTCATCCCAGCATGCTACTGGCTAAATATATATACCCTAGACCTCTTGGTTATTCAGAAGAAGTTTAAAGGTTTTACACATGTTTGACCCCTGTGACCTTGAATATGAGTCGGGGTCATTCATTTGAATAAATTTCGTAGCCCTTCATTTCCGAATGATACTGGCCAAAAATCAATATAAGTCAAGGTCATTCATTTGAACAATCTTGGTAGCCTTTTATCCCAGCATGTCCCTGGCTAAATATCATCATGCTGGGCCTTCTGGTTATTCAGAAGAAGTTGTTGAAAGATATTACATTTGAACCCTGTGACCTAGCTTGAAAATGGACAAAGGTCATTCATTTGAACAAACTTGGTAGCCCTTAATCCCAGCAAGCTACTGGCCAAATATCATCAGCCTGGGCCTCTTGGTTATTCAGAAGAAATTTTTAAAGTTGACACAGGATGGACAACAGACACGCGGACAAAGGACGTCGCACCAATAATTTCGGAGGGCCAATGGATCGTAAATAGCGTTATCTTCCGGGCCAAGTCTAGATAAGGGAGGGAGGAATGAAGCAGAACTGGATGGGTTAACTGCCTAGGTACAATGTAGCTCCATTGGTAGAATATCCATCCAAGAGTTAGGATGATCTTGGATTGGCACCCTAGCTGTCCAACAATGCTTTTGCTTCTTATGATAACTGTATAAATCCTCCTTTATCTATCCCAAATTTACATTTTAACTGGAATTTCTGTTATTTCCACCAGCCATAATGTCTGTGAAATCATATCAGGGGCTAATCTAGGATTTGGGGAACACTACCCATTTTGAAATGAGGGGAATATCCAGTTGCCAGGCCGGCCGAAGGCCTCCAAACGACTGCCACAGGCAGGAGCCGGGGGAAAGGCACGAGATGGGGGCGGGTAGCCCCCCTCTCTTGTTAATGGGGGTACAGGGGCGGGGGTCTCCCCCGGAAAAAAATGGTATTTGAAGATGCAAGGAGATGGATTTTAAGCCCATTTGAGTGATAAACATATCTGACTAGCACTGCTGAAAATGTCACTGATGCGTCTGCTTGTAGACGCATCTTTCTTACACAGTTTCCCAAAATAATAGCCGGCTTTATGCGACATGTTTTGAGATCTGTATCAGTTACACGCTTGAACTACCATCGAAGCGTCCTAAGTGACCATGACCGGAATTTAGTCGCCGAAAACGAAAGTAGATCTATATATAAACGGTGCTCATGATCACTTTTATTGCAATTATATTTATTTTTCCTCTATTTTGGGGAAACTTTCTCCTTCTTGGGGAATTTGTTTTTAATTCAAAGGGGAAAACACAGTCGTTGGGGAATACTACGTGTACCGAATTTCGGTAGTTAAAACAGTCTAGATTTACCCCTGTAATTATGAATTAATGGAAAGACTGCCAGTTAACTAAGTATTCTACCAGTAAAATGGGGTTTTTTTTAACCTCAAAACAGAAAATGTTTTTTTTATGAAGTCATTATTAGTTTGTTAGTTTCGTGTATCTGACTAACAGCCAGTTCAATTAATTCTTTATTCACCTAGGCCTCCAGCTGTTCTGTACTTTAATATTCTAATACTTTAATACAGAAATGCTGCTATATATATTTAAACAAGCCATTCGGATTGATATGTCTCGCCTGTGCCCCGCTTTGACCATCAATGCACATGTCAATTTTGGTTGGTCGAGCACTTATAGTCTCGGAGAAAGTAACTTAAATGGAAAATCTTAATGTTGATGCGGCGGCGGAAAACAAGTCCTTAGTTTCGCTTTCGCTTATTCGTGATGGCGTGACAAAAATGTTGTGGGGCAAAACAAAATTATTATGATTTTTCAACAGCAGTTTATGTACTTTCATTCAAGTTTATACGTTTTTACAGTTAAGATTGAACGTAACAGAAGTAAATATGTAAAAGCACAGGAGCCTTAAATTCTGTCAAAAATTAATAATAACAGTAAAACTGCATGTTGTCATTAATTTTTGACAATTTCTAATTCAAGAAATTAAATGCTGATGAAATATCTTTGAAATTATCAAATTAAAAAATCAACCCAGAATCAAAAGACTGTGACACGTCCAACCATAAACTAAACTGGGAACCCCTAGCCAATCGAAGAACAAAACCCAGACTTATTATGCTTTATAAGATCATACATAATCATGTGGCTATAGATCCAACATCACACATAGCAACAGGTGATAGGAGAACAAGAGGTGCACACAAACTTAACCAAATTTCTTCCAACAAAAATATGTATAAATATTCTTTCTTTCCAAAAACTAGGCTATCATCGATTGGAACTCTTTACCAGCATCGCTACTGTACAGTACTCAGTAGCACAGGATCCAAACCTGAACACTTTCAGGTCTGCCCTTGCTAGCTACAACCTACCCTAAATCTGTGCTTGTTTTATCTTAAATAAAAAATAACAAAAAATCTTGTTTTTAATCTATGCCATCTCCAAGCGACAATTGCACTCAAACTTTTGAGTCTTTCCCTTAGACTGGAAGAAGAACTAAGATACTGGTCAGTAGACCGGGCCGACTCGTCCATTCCGCCCTCTCGCCCAGTCTAGCTCGTCGCTTATCAGGATATAGCCATATCAAACAAACAAATCAATGTCAACGACAGTACCGACAGTAATTCTATCATCTGCGCAATATTATTTAATTATATAAATATCAGAAGCATCCCCGAAAAGGCTTAAGTTATTTCAGACAACATTTTTTGGTATGTGAGTCAGCTATTTTGAACGTTTTCTTACATCTTCGACGGTGCCGGAGGTACGATCCTTCCAGCAAAAATGCATCAGAGAGTCCTCAGATTGAAAAACGTACACTTGGCCCTTCCTCTTATCGGGATGGACCATCTTGCCCTTCATGAACATCTTTCCAGCCCGGAATTCAACAAGGTTTTTACTGGAAGACCGGGTGGCCGAACTACCGAAAAGTGCACCGCTCGCCATGTTGATTTTAACAGTCCGGAAGAAGAAAGGGCGATTTGATTATTTATGATACCGGTGAGGTAGGGCCTAATCCGACGAATAGACAAGTGCATAAAAAGCAAATAGATAAACAGTATGTCAATATTTTATCCAGTATATTCTTTTTATTTAACTGTTAGTTGGTATTTGTCTTTCTTTCTTTTTGTAACAAACCGTGGAATTATATTAAAAATATGAGGTTTAAAATAAGATACGCATCCTAGTTTACCTTCATAAAATGAAATGTTCCAATGCGGAAGGTCGGAATACAAAAGGTCAAATTGTCTGGGTCACATGTGGGAAAGAAACCGGATCGAATGCAGACCTGTCAAAATATCACAAAATTGAGGAAATTTTGTAGATTTAGGAAAATGATCGAGCTGCTTCAACAGAATGCTTCCGTAGCAATTGTAGCAGTATTCTTCTCCGGCTACTTTGCGTATTACACTTTCTTTGTAGCTAAGGTAAGTTAACATGATCACAATATGTGTGGATCGATTTCGAACCGGCAGGATCGCTGCTGATGCAAATTGATTATCAATACAAGATAACAAGCAATGTTTTAATGCACACAACAGACAAAGATGAATTCGTTGTAGACTGTACATGTTATACTTATATTGATTATATATAAACGTCAGACTCCTGTGGCAATGCTCATGTATGCATGGCACTAAATTCGGTGTAATTTATTAAGACTGAAGAGTTGATGAATTATTTACGATGTAATATCATAAATGCCCATGGTATTGCCGCCCTGGGCTCATTACCCAATTCTGGACACTAACAAGTTACTACTGTGTTGGTACATATATTGATTCTTAGTTCCCACAGCACTAATAGTAATTCATCAGTATTGTCGACTATTGTGAACATGAGAATTACACATTTTCCCTTTGCCACATTTAATAGCAGTTTTTTTTAGTAAATAGCAAATAATGTAAGTGTTTGGTTTTTTTTGTATAATGATGACATGCAAGTTGAAGTATTACATGTACAATTTATAAACCGATACAAACAGTTCCAGATATGTGTTTGTTAACTATATTAATAGTGTAACAGGAAAGAGAATAGTGTGCTTCCACCGGGGATCGACCCCTCGCTCTCCAGGTTCCTAGTCGGACGCTCTACCACTGAGCTTAAGGGAAATTCACTCTAGCTCGAAGCTAGAAGGCAACCTTTATCCTACGTACAATTGAACCCTGCCACACTAGCATTGAAATAAATGACTTTGTGTTGCCGTTAGTTCGTTTGCGGTAAATCCTGCTGTTTTGGTAAGACTTTTGAAGACTTTTACAATTAGCCAACAAGTTATCTAAATTTTAACCTATATCATGGTATTTTGTTAAGAATCTAATGTACCCAGGGGTTTTGCCAGCTATTTTGGAAAAGTGCCCCTGAGCAGCTGTATTCCCTGAGTTACAGACTCCAGAAATGTATCCCCAGGGTTACAGGCTCCACAACCACATTCCCTGAGTTACAGGCTCAACAACTTTAACCCCCCGTGTTACAGGCTCCACAATTGTATCCCTTGAGTTACAGCCTTCACAACTGTATTCCCTGGGTTACAGGCTCCACAACCGCATTCCCTGAGTTACAGGCTCAACAACTTTAACCCCCCGTGTTACAGGCTCCACAACTGTATCCCTTGAGTTACAGCCTTCACAACTGTATTCCCTGAGTTACAGCCTTCAAAACTGTATTCCCTGAGTTACAGCTCCACAACTGTATTCCCTGAGTTACTCCCTCCACAACTGTATTCCCTGAGTTACCCGCTCCACAACTGTATTCCCTGAGTAACTCGCTCCACAACTGTATTCGCTGAGTTACAGGCTCCACGACTGTATTCCCTGGGTTACAGGCTCCACAACTGTATTCCTTTAGTTACAGGCTCCACAACTGTATTTCCTGAGTTACAGCCTTCACAACTGTATTCCAGTTACAGGCTTCACAACTGTATTCCCTGAGTTACTCGCTCCCCAACTGTATTCCCTGAGTTACTCGCTCCCCAACTGTATTCCCTGAGTTACTCGCTCCACAACTGTCTTCCCTGAGTTACAGGCTCCACAACTGTATTCCCTGAGTTACAGGCTTCACAACTGTATTCCCTGAGTTACTCGTTCCACAACTGTATTCCCTGAGTTACAGGCTCCACAACTGTATTCCCTGAGTTACAGGCTCCACAACTGTATTCCCTGAGTTACTCGCTCCACAACTGTATTCCCTGAGTAACTCGCTCCACAACTGTATTCGCTGAGTTACAGGCTCCACAACTGTATTCCTTGAGTTACAGGCTCCACAACTGTATTTCCTCAGTTACAGCCTTCACAACTGTATTTCCTGAGTTACAGCCTTCACAACTGTATTTCCTGAGTTACAGCCTTCACAACTGTATCCCTTGAGTTACATGCTCCACAACTGTATTTCCTGAGTTACAGCCTTCACAACTGTATTTCCTGAGTTACAGCCTTCACAACTGTATCCCTTGAGTTACATGCCCCACAACTGTATTTCCTGAGTTACAGCCTTCACAACTGTATTTCCTGAGTTACAGCCTTCACAACTGTATTCCCTGAGTTACTCGCTCCACAACTGTATTTCCTGAGTTACAGCCTTCACAACTGTATCCCTTGAGTTACATGCTCCACAACTGTATTTCCTGAGTTACAGCCTTCACAACTGCATTTCCTGAGTTACAGCCTTCACAACTGTATCCCTTGAGTTACATGCTCCACAACTGTATTTCCTGAGTTACAGCCTTCACAACTGTATTTCCTGAGTTACAGCCTTCACAACTGTATCCCTTGAGTTACATGCCCCACAACTGTATTTCCTGAGTTACAGCCTTCACAACTGCATTTCCTGAGTTACAGCCTTCACAACTGTATCCACAACTGTATTTCCTGAGTTACAGCCTTCACAACTGCATTTCCTGAGTTACAGCCTTCACAACTGTATCCCTTGAGTTACATGCTCCACAACTGTATTTCCTGAGTTACAGCCTTCACAACTGTATTCCCTGAGTTACTCGCTCCACAACTGTATTCGCTGAGTTACAGGCTCCACAACTGTATTCCTTGAGTTACAGGCTCCACAACTGTATCCCCAGGGTTACAGGCTCCACAACTGTATTCCTTGAGTTACAGCCTTCACAACTGTATCCCCAGGGTTACAGCCTCCACAGCTGTATTCCCTGAGTTACAGCCTCCACAACTGTATTCCTTGAGTTACAGGCTCCACAACCGCATTCCCTGAGTTACAGGCTTCACAACTGTATTCCTTGAGTTACATGCTCCACAACTGTATTTCCTGCGTTACAGCCTTCACAACTGGATTCCCTGAGTTACTCGCTCGACAGCTGTATTCGCTGAGTTACAGCCTTCCCAACTGTATTCCCTGAGTAACAGCCTCCACAACTGTATTCCTTGGGTTACCGCCTTCCCAAGTGTACCCCCAGGGTTACAGCCTCCACACCTGTATTCCCTGAGTTACCGCCTTCAAAACTGTATTCCCTGAGTTCCTCACTCCACAGCTGTATTCGCTGAGTTACAGCCCTCACAACTGTATTCCCTTAGTTACTCACTCCACAGCTGTATTCGCTGAGTTACAGGCTCCACCACTGTATTCCTTGAGTTAAAGGCTCCACAACTGTATTCGGTGAGTTACAGCCTTCACAGCTGTATCCCCAGGCTTACAGCCTCCACAGCTGCATTCCCTGAGTTACAGGCTTCACAACTGTATTCCATGGGTTACAGGCTCCACAACCGCATTCCCTGAGTTACAGCCTCCAAAACTGTATTCCTTGAGTTACAGCCTTCACAGCTGTATCCCCAGGGTTACAGGCTCCACAACTGTATTCCCTGAGTTACTCGCTCCACAGCTGTATTCCCTGTGTTACAGCCTTCACAACTTTATTCCCTGAGTTACAGCCTTCACAACTGTATTCCCTGAGTTACTCACTCCACAGCTGTATTCGCTGAGTTACAGGCTCCACAACTGTATTCCTTGAGTTACAGCCTTCACAACTGTATTCCCTGAGTTACAGCCTTCACAACTGTATTCCTTGAGTTACAGCCTTCACAACTGTATCCCCAGGGTTACAGGCTCCACAGCTGTATTCCCTGAGTTACAGCCTCCACAACTTCATTCCTTGAGTTACAGGCTCCACAACTGTATTCCCTGAGTTACTCGCTCCACAACTGTATTCCCTGAGTTACAGGCTTCACAACTGTATTCCCTGAGTTACAGGCTCCACAACTGTATTCCCTGAGTTACTCGCTCCACAACTGTATTTCCTGAGTTACAGCCTTCACAACTTTATTCCCTGAGTTACAGCCTTCACAACTGTATTCCCTGAGTTACACGCTCCACANCCTGAGTTACTCGCTCCACAACTGTATTCCCTGAGTTACATGCTCCACACCTGTATTTCCTGAGTTACAGCCTTCACAACTGTATTCCCTGAGTTACTCGCTCCACAACTGTATTCCTTGAGTTACAGGCTCCACAACTGTATCCCCAGTGTTACAGGCTCCACAACTGTATTCCTTGAGTTACAGCCTTCACAACTGTATCCCAAGGGTTACAGCCTCCACAACTGTATTCCTTGAGTTACAGGCTCCACAACTGTATTCCCTGAGTTACAGCTCCACAACTGTATGACCTGAGTTACAGCCTTCACAACTGTATTCCCTGAGTAACAGCCTTCACAACTGTATTCCCTGAGTTACTCGCTCCACAACTGTATTTCCTGAGTTACAGCCTTCACAACTGTATTCCCTGAGTTACTCGCTCCACAGCTGTATTCCCCGAGTTACAGCTCCACAACTGTATTCCCTGAGTTACAGCCTTTACAACTGTATTCCCTGAGTTACAGCCTTCACAACTGTATTCCTTGAGTTACAGGCTCCACAACTGTATACGCTGAGTTACAGCTTTCACAACTGTATCCCCTGAGTTACAGCCTTCACAACTGTATTCCCTGAGTTACTCGCTCCACAACTGTATTCCCTGAGTTACAGCCTTCACAACTGTATCCGCTGAGTTACAGCCTCCACAACTGTATCCCCTGAGTTACAGGCTCCACAACTGTATCCCCTGAGTTACAGGCTCCACAACTGTATCCGCTGAGTTACAGCCTTCACAACTGTATCCCCAGGGTTACAGGCTCCACAACTGTATCCCCTGAGTTATAGGCTCCACAACTGTATCCCCTGAGTTATAGGCTCCACAACTGTATGACCTGGAAAAGGTTGAGAAGACTACTTCCTTTTTTAGTCCTGGCCCAATTTATTGATTTATTACTTTACATACATGCTGGGATGATCCGTTATAAAAAGTTTGTTGGATGAATTATCTTCACCCTAATTCAAGGTCACAGGTGTCAAATGTAATAGAGGCACAGTAGTCTAGTGGACGGACGCCGGGCTCGTGACCGAAGGGTTGCGGGTTCGAGTCACGTCAAGGCACTGTGTTGTATCTTTGAGCAAGATACTTTACTTCGCTTGTTCCAGTCTACTCAGCTGTAAATGAGGATGTGGTTGGGCAGTGCTAGAATTGTTGAATGCTAGCTGTTAGCGCCGAAATGGTAGCACAGACAGTATACTCCACAGAGAGTTGAGAAAGATATTGGCTGGTTGCAAAGGCCCTATAACCATGGTGATAATTTGTGAACCCCTTTAAGATGGTAGACAACTAGGTTGTGATAAAGCGGTATATAAGAACGCTCAAATTATTGTTATTATTATTATTAAAACATTTGAGCAACTTCGTCTCAATAAGCAAGAGGCCTAGGGTGATGGTATATTTGTATTTGCCAGTAAGCATGCTGGGTTGAAGGGCTATCAAGTTTGTTCAAAGGAATGATCTTCATACATACACAAGATCACAGAGGTCAAATGTGCTCAAACTGTTATATCACTTTTTCTGAATAACTTATAGGATTAGTGATATTACTGTGTTCCCTGTGGTGAAGTGGGGATCTGACCATGAATGAATCGCATTTACCAACTTTGGAGTTTGATTATCAAAATAATTATGTTAAACTCTTCCAAAATCACACTTTATGGTGATATAGAGTACCAGGTAATAACATCTCCCAGCATAGACTATTATGTTTTTATATATATGTGTATTGATACTTAGTTTATTTAAAAGAATTTGTCATGTTTTGTTTTGAAAGTTACAGATGTGAGAAGAATAACTGGTGAGTGCTTCAGGCCCATTATGCCTCTTGTTTTATGTTATATCAGATCTACCATGAAAAGTTGTATGACCTAATTAGAACTGAAAAAAGTTGACTTAGATGTGATAATAAATCAAAATCCACAATCACACAAAGGTCATATAAGACCATAGGACTTTGTCATACTGTCACTGATAATAAGAAATGTACTAAAAACCCTAAGGGATACAACTAGATATAAAGCAAGTTCAAAAGGGATTGGCCAAATAGTAAAACTTGTGTGATAACATCTAAAAGTGGGACAATTCTGTTGTGGTCGCCTAATACAACGTACATGATACCGTATTCAATCTAATAAGCGCATTGTGCACTAACAAAATCACAAGAGGGCTTAATAATCCTTTTACTGCTATAACTGGTTTATTTGGAATAACCCAGTGACCAAGATAAAAGTCAGCCGATAGCGAGAAATAATTGGGTTAATTTAGGCAAGCCTATATTATCCTCCTGTTTATAGAGAATTATCTCACCCTAACTTTCAAGGTCTGTTGTTAACTGACCAAGTCTGAAATGAACAACAATGGGAGCTTTCTGTTGTGGCTTCATATTTACAATTAGTTTCAAACAAAGACCTACAGATTGTTGAAATCTTGATCTTGAGTTATAAGTTATTAACCACATAATTGTGCTTAAATTCTTTTGATCCTGCCTCTGATAACATTGAAAAATAAACCGGTGAATTAGTTTCATGCTATAAATGTCAGAAATGTGTAACATTATATAAGTTATTTTGTCTGTTGCAGAAGCCTAGGTTATCCTGTAAGGATACAGTGTTATTTTGTCTGTTACAGAAGCCTAAGTTATCCTGTAAGGATACAGTGTTATTTTGTCTGTTACAGAAGCCTAAATTATCCTGTAAGGATACAGTGTTATTTTGTCTGTTACAGAAGCCTAAGTTATCCTGTAAGGATACAGTGTTATTTTGTCTGTTACAGAAGCCTAAGTTAGCCTGTAATGATAATGTTATTTTGTCTGTTACAGAAGCCTTAGTTATCCTATAAGGATAGTGTTATTTTGTCTGTTACAGAAGCCTCAGTTATCCTGTAAGGATACAGTGTTATTTTGTATGTTACAGAAGCCTAAGTTATCCTGTGTGGATACAGTACACTCATAAAGAATTAAAATATCTTCAACAAGTTCGAGTTTCAAGGTCATCGGATCAAGGTCATCGGATCAAGGTCAATGTCACTATTACTTAACATTGAAAAATAAACCGGTGAATTAGTTTGATGCTATAAATGTCAGAAATGTGTGACATTATATAAGTTATTTTGTCTGTTGCAGAAGCCTAATTTAGCCTGTAAGGATACAATGTTATCATTCTTTCTTGGTTTTTAATCAAACTTCACACACTCATATAGAATTAAAATATCTTCGACAAGTTCGAGTTTCAAAGAAGCCTCAGTTATCCTGTAAAGATACAGTGTTATTTTGTATGTTACAGAAGCCTAAGTTATCCTGTAAGGATAGTGTTATTTTTTCTGTAACAGAAGCCTTAGTTATACTGTAAGGATACAGTGTAATTTTGTCAGTTACACAAGCCCAAATTAGCCTGTAAGGATATAGTGTTATTTTGTCTCTTACAGAAGACTAAGTTATCCTGTAAGTAAATAGAAAAACTTTGTAAGCACTCTAGCGTCTTCGTTCTTTCTTGGGTTTTAATCAAACTTCACACAGTCATAAAGAATTAAAATATCTTCAACAAGTTCGAGTTTCAAAGAAGCCTCAGTTATCCTGTAAGGATAGAGTTATTTTGTCTGTTACCGAAGCCTAAATTAGCCTGTAATGATAATGTTACTTTGTCTGTTACAGAAGCCTCAGTTATCCTGTAAAGATACAGTGTTATTTTGCTTGTTACAGAAGCCTAAGTTATCCTGTAAGGATACGGTGTTATTTTGTCTGTTACATAAGCCTAAATTAGCCTGTAAGGATACAATGTTATCATTCTTTCTTGGTTTTTAATCAAACTTCACACAGTCATAAAGAATTAAAATATCTTCGACAAGTTTAAGTTTCAAGGTCATCGGATCAAGGTCATCGGATCAAGGTCAAGATCAATATTACATAGTGTTATTTTGTCTGGTACAGAAGCCTTAGTTAACCTGTAAGGATACAGTGGTATTTTGTCTGTTACAGATGCCTCAGTTATCCTGTAAAGATACAGTGTTATTTTGTTTGTTTCCGAAGCCTAAATTATCCTGTACAAGTTCGAGTTTCAAAGAAGCCTCAGTTATCCTGTAAAGATACAGTGTTATTTTGTTTGCTATAAATAGAAAAACTTTGTCAGCACTCTAGCGTCTTCATTCTATCTTGGCTTTTAATCAGACTTCACACAGTCATAAAGAATTAAAATATCTTCGACAGTGTTATTTTGTCTGTTACCGAAGCCTAAATTAGCCTGTAAGGATACAGTGGTATTTTGTCTGTTACAGAAGACCAAATTAGCCTGTAAGGATATAGTGTTATTTTGTTTGTTTCCGAAGCCTAAATTATCCTGTACAAGTTCGAGTTTCAAAGAAGCCTCAGTTATCCTGTAAGGATACGGTGTTATTTTGTCTGTTTATTTAACATTCTTCCTTGCCTGTTTATCAAACTTCACACACTCATAAAGAACTAAAATATCTTCGACAAGTTCGAGTTTCAAAGAAGCCTCAGTTATCCTGTAAGGATAGAGTTATTTTGTCTGTTACAGATGCCTCAGTTATCCTGTAAGGATAGAGTTATTTTGTCTGTTACAAAAGCCTAAGTTATCCTGTGTGGATACAGTACACTCATAAAGAATTAAAATATCTTCGACAGTGTTATTTTGTCTGTAATAGAAGCCTTAGTTATCCTATAAGTATAGTGTTATTTTGTCTGTAACAGAAGCCTAAATTAGCCTGTAAGGATACAATGTTATTTTGACTGTTACAGAAGCCTTAGTTATACTGTAAGGATACAGTGTCATTTTGTCTGTTACAGATGCCTCAGTTATCCTGTAAGGATAGAGTTATTTTGTCTGTTACAGAAGCCTCAGTTATCCTGTAAAGATACAGTGTTATTTTGTTTGTTACGGAAGCCTAAATTATCCTGTAAGGATACATTGTTATTTTGTCTGTAATAGAAGCCTTAGTTATCCTGTAAGGATAGTGTGATTTTGTCTGTTACAGAAGACTTAGTTATCCTATAAGGATAGTGTTATTTGTCTGTTACAGAAGACTTAGTTATCCTGTAAGGATAGAGTTATTTTGTCTGTAACAGAAGCCTTAGTTATCCTATAAGGATAGTGTTATTTGTCTGTTACAGAAGTCTAAATTAGCCTGTAAGGATACAATGTTATCATTCTTTCTTGGTTTTTAATCAAACTTCACACAGTCATAAAGAATTAAAATATCTTCAACAAGTTCGAGTTTCAAAGAAGCCTCAGTTATCCTGTAAAGATACAGTGTTATTTTGCTTGTTACAGAAGCCTAAAATATCCTGTAAGGATACACTGTTATTTTGTCTGTTTCAGAAGCCTAAGTTATCCTGTGTGGATACAGTACACTCATAAAGAATTAAAATATCTTCGACAGTGTTATTTTGTCTGTTACCGAAGCCTAAATTAGCCTGTAAGGATATAGTGTTATTTTGTCTGTTACAGAAGCCTAAATTAGCCTGTAAGGATACAATGTTATTTTGTCTGTTGCAGAAGCCTAAGTTAGCCTGTAAGGATACAGTGTTATTTTGTTTGTTACAGAAGCCTTAGTTATCCTGTAAGGATACAGTGTTATTTTGTCTGTTACAGAAGCCTAAATTATCCTGTTAGGATACAGTGTTATTTTGTCTGTTACAGAAGCCTAAGTTATCCTGTAAGGATACAGTGTTTTTTTGTCTGTTACAGAAGCCTAAGTTATCCTGTGTGGATACAAACAACTGTTATTTTGTCTGTTACAGAAGCCTAAATTATCCTGTTAGGATACAGTGTTATTTTGTCTGTTACAGAAGCCTAAATTATCCTGTAAGGATACAGTGTTATTTTGTTTGTTACAGAAGCCTAAATTATCCTGTGTGGATACAGTGTTATTTTGTCTGTTACAGAAGCCTAAGTAATCCTGTAAGGATACAGTGTTATTTTGTCTGTTACAGAAGCCCAAGTTGTAAGGATACAGTGTTATTTTGTCTGTTACAGAAGCCCAAATTAGCCTGTAAGGATACAAAGTTCCGCTCCTTCCTGTTGACCCACTGTCCTGTTATCTCAGAAAAGTACTTTCCAACTGTTTGGTGTTTTGAGTCCAGAGCTCAAACTATTCTTCGCTCCTTTTTAAAGTCTGCTCCGAAGTTGAGCTATGAAGGGTAAGGAGAAACAGTTTGTTTTGCTTTCCTTTTGCTATGTTTGGAGCCTTGAGATATAGCTGGAAAAAAACAACGAATTGTTGCACTTCGACCATTTCTAATTGAAAATAGGAAGCTTTTCTCCATTTTTTTAAGATAAATTTCCAATATACTGAAGAAGGTTAACATATTTTTGATATCATTTTCTGTGTTCTTTTGTAATTTATTAATTATGTCAATTATAGCCGATTATTTATTCCCCCAACGGTTCCTGGGGTGGGGGAACCTGTAGGTTATACACTCTGTCCGTAGTGTTACTCCAATTAATTAATAATTCAGTGATTGATCATTTACCTCGGACTAGGACTAATTGATCATTGACTATATCATGAAAAACTTTCAAGAGTTATTTAGATTCTGGGTGGAGCTAAAAATGAACATCATCAGTATCCAATACATACTATACATTCATGTTATACGTTTGACACTTTAGTTCAGTACTAATGAACTAATTATATCTCTATGGAATTTGTAATTAATAATCAGAATGGGTATATAAGTCAATTTTTGACTATAATCGATCATTGGTCCTTTGCTACCTATGCATCAACGCTCTAGCCCTGTTGTGTATACTTATGGCCCCCATACTATTCCATGTCCTGTCAATCCATCTCTTACAAATTCTGTCCATATAATCCAATAGGATTAACGCCTTCAGTCCCAATGACCCCAGCTTATCCCAAGTCACATCCTGTATCTGTTATAAACCCCATTTCCCATCCTTCCACTCTGTCCACATCAACCCACATCATTATTTATGTTGTATACATCCTATTGAAATATAAACCGGGGTAATTAATTTAATTCACATGAATTAATGAGTTTGTGTAAGTAACAGAGATTTTATTAAAATTCTTTCTTGTTGACAGCGAGCTAATCAAGATGGAGGATGGAGGACAGGTCCTGTTAGACTGGTACCAAAATGACAATGAAGTTTACCCTGACGTGGAAACAAGGCCAACTGTCATACTCCTGCCTGGTCTCACAGGTAACCTCGAATAATACAGGAAATAGACATCTTACTTCTCCTGGTCTCACAGGTCACCTCAGAACGTAACACAGGAAATAGACAT